TGCACCACATCATTCTCAAAATCAATATCATGTTGAACTCTCCTCTACTGATATTCATCATTATAAGCATTTCTTGCTCCAATCTCTCCCAACTGACTCTGAATATTAATTATGTCCATTTTCTGAATCTTGGTCCATAATGTTTTCTAATGATGCAGGGCGAGAAGTAGGTGCCTCTGCAGCAGATGTAGAGGGTCTATCCCTTCTTCCCCCTCTTGATTCAACAAATGATTCAACTCTCTGAATCATATGCCTCCCAATAAGATTTTGTGGCTGTAACCTTTCTTCATTTCTATAGGACTCTACTTTTGATTACTCACATAAAGTGAAAATCAGAGCAGGGTCTCCCAAACCATGAGCTGTAGAACTACCAGCTATACTTAGAGCATGATGAACTATAAGTGTACCAACATCTATTGCTTTCATGTTTTGAATGCAATAATTCAACACAACTCTATCTTTCGTAACATCAGCAAGATGATTCCTTGACAATAATCTAGTAGGAATAAAGTGATGCCATACCTTTGACTGGCTAGTCAACATAGAAGTAGGGAAGTTAACTATCTTGTTATTCTTAATCTTCAACTCTCCTCTTCCATCAGTCAAAAATGCAAGCACTTCATCCAGTGATGACTCAGTCACCATGAATGCAGTGTATTCATTAAAAAATACATTTCTCAGTCCAAAAAAAAAACATTGATTTGATCAGCAGTAAATTTACCTTGTTAACCTCTAACTAGTATGTGGTCACCAACAGTGAACCTCAGGTTAGCGTAGAATTCCTTAATCATGGGATAAATTACTACTACAGTGAAGTAGCAGAATATGTCCAAAATTTTGGCAAGCATCAACCTTTCGATCTTGCCACCCGGGTTTGCAAATGCTCTTTCTTGGATCAATCTTCTGGTCTCCATTTGAGTATTGTAACTATGTCGGGCTTTTAAGTTAACAAATCTTTGTGAATCAAAATATTTAGATGGCCTTCCTCTCTTAACTCAAGGAGCCATTAGAAATTCTACGAAAATCCAAATAAATTTCAAACAAATTACTAAATAAAAAATCTAACTCCCCAATCAAGATGATTTGGTAGGAAACTTTTCACCATGAGTTTTCTTCAAGCTTTTTCATAAAAAATCCCAAAATTTGGATCCTTCATAATGTAGGAAAATCCCATACTGAAAATAAAGAATTTCTAAGTTAAAGTGAAGCTCTTACCAAGAAAAGTTGAAATCTATGATTTTTGGCATCCAAAATCTTCTCTACCGTCCGCAATAAGAAGCCATAGGTCAAGGTTTACAAGTAGGAGACGACCCAAGCCATAAAAATGGAGCTTGTTCATGCAATTTCATGGTTTTTTAGGCAATCTAGCATGTTCGGGTCTTTAGCGCATCATGCGCTAGTGCTCTGTAAGTTGGTGCATCATGCGCCAATCTGACACATCATGCGTCAGAGCTTAAATTCACCAGATTTTGGTTTCTATGGAGTTTCTATGGATTTTGGTTTCTATGGAAATCTGCTCCGTACCACCTTACATCAACCTATAATTAACTCAAATGAACATTTCTAAGTAGATATAAACATCACTCAAACACCAAACTTTCAAAAACAACACAAAAGTCACATTTATTTATAAAATCCGCGCTATTACAAACTAACAGTTTTCAAGCCAACAAACGTCAAATTCAGTGTTCTAAAGCAAGCCAACATCCTAACATTAAAATCTTAACATCAAAATACAAATCATAAACATAGATAGTGTGAGAATAGAAAGGAAATGCAATCCAACTCAACAAACTAAAATAAGCAGCACTAAACAAAATGTTCTGTGCATAAATTAAGTTCAAACATCTTCTTCACTCTCGTCCTCCTAAATATCTCCCATCGATTGGTGGTGCACTTATAGGTTATAGAAGGGTTGATATGGAAACCTATCAGTTGAATCCTCTCTAATGTAAGAATGTTTCTTGAACATACGTACCAAACCATCTTCATTACGACCAGTATGTTCAAAATATTCTTTCAATCTCCAATCCAGATGGTCCAGCTTTTCAGAAATATTCCCAATCATATGCATAAGATTCGGCACCTCTTTCTATATCTTCTTGATTCGCTTCAAAAGTACATTTGAATTATAGTAGGGCTGAATAGGTGATGAATTCTGAGATCCTTGATCCATCAACACATTCATATCATTTTCATCTCTCATTCCGATACAGTTGTAATGGACTTCAGGATCCATTAGCTTCCAAGGAAGAAGCACTTTTTCCCACTTTCATAAAGGTACTTGCGATTGATAGAATAATAGAAAAATAGTAGATGGATGTCCAAGTGTAGTTGTAAATCCATTCACAATCAAACCAAAAATTGATTTTATAATTGTGGCTCCAATATCAATAGGTTTTCCAGTTTGATTACAATAATTTAAAATATCCATCTCCTTTGTTACCTTAGTGATCTTCATGATGGGTAGTAAATTCAATGTAATAAAGAAGTTTAATGCCTTAGAAGTACGATTTAGCAATGATGATGAAAAACTTACATTTTCATCATCTCTTGCCTCCCAGTTCGCATCTTCATCCATAAGGTATCGGTAGAGTTCATTTATATTGTCTCTTGTAGGGGTAAAATTTGCATAGTGGCAGATAGACACATTCTCAATCATATACATCTCATTTATTCTTGAAGGAGTGAATTGTACAAAACTGCCTTGCACATAGGCTTTTCCTTGGTTGATCACATGAAGATTTGCATAAAACTCTTTCACCATAGGGACGATTACAGTTGCAGTAGTGTAGCAAAACACTTTCGAGTGCCTCTGCCCAATAATCTCTTCCACTCGAGTATTCGGTGGGTTGAATCCTTGATTCACAAACTCCCATTTTTTGATTAGCCTCTTCTTCACTTCATTAGAACTCGATCATGTAATTTCTGGGCATCAAAACTGACGATTTTCTCCGGTTGAAAATTCCAAATCTAGCAGAGTTCTAGAGTGGGAAGTCATAGGAGTTGAAAAATGGTGAAAGGGAGCCATTGGATTTGAAATCTAGTGGTTTTTCTCACATTTTCCACCTTAAAATAGACTTAGGATTCAGTTTTTAGGAGTTTTAAGGGGAAGAAACCACCAAAAACTGCCTTTTGAAACATTTTAGTCATTTTAGTCATTGCGGCGCATCATGTGCCGGCTCTCTAGAATTTTCCGCATCATGCGCCAATCTGGCGCATCATGCACTAGTTCCAAAATTTGCGCTATTTTGATTTCAATCCAATAAATTCTCAAATTTTCCATAAAATTAGGCAAATAAAGATGTTTCTAAATATTTTTCTCAAATACACAGACTTCATAATGATCTAAACATAAATATACATAAAATATTTCAAACAAACAAACACAAAACTCAAAAAAAAACTGAACAATGATTCATATGAGTTGCCTACCACAAAAAGTTTGGTTTAATGTCGTCATCCTGAAATTCCTAGTCTCATTCTTGGTGACCCAATATTACAATCTTTTTAAAAGCTGGTCTTTGACCATCAAAATATGATTTTAATTTGTGTCCATTCACTGTAAATATTCTTCCAATTTTGGGGTCTTCAATATTAACTGCTCCATAGGATAGACTTTTATAACCTTGAATGACCCTTTCCACCTAGACTATAATTTTCCAGGAAAAAATTTCAATCTTTTATTACATAATAAAACTTCCTGTCAAGGTTCAAATTCCCTTTTTATTATCTTCCTTTTTATTATTTTCCGATCATGTCATTCTTTCATCTTTTCATTATAAATCATTGAATTATGATAATATTCATTTCTAATTTCCTCAAGCTCATTCAATTGCAATAATCTTTTCTCATTCATTTATCACAAGCATCTTTCAAATTGAAATTAAATTATTTTATAGCCCAATAAGCTTATGCTCCAATTCATTTGGCAAGTGACAAGTCTTCCCAAAAATTAATCTATATGGGGACATTCCTATAGGTGTCTTATAAGCAGTCCTGTATGCCCATAATGCTATATCTAATTTAACAAACAAATCCATTGTATTAAGATTAACACTCTTTTCCAAAATTCTCTTAATTTCACAATTAGATACTTCTGCTAAAACATTAGTCTGGGGATGAAAAGCAGTTGCAATTTTATGCATTATATTATATTTTCCACCAATCTTGCAACTGTTGCATTTCTAAGATGAGATCCTCTATTGGTAATGATTACTCTTAGCATTCTTTATCTTGTAAAAATATTTTTAATTAAAAATTTTGAAACACTCCAAGCATCACATCTAAGCAAAGCGATTGCTTCAATCCATTTTGAAACATAATCCACTACAATCAATATATATATATATATATATATATATATATATA